CACAGTTTAACAACACACAGTTAGTGGGGTTCAGTTAGTTGTATTCAGAGATGGGCAGTAACGTGTTGCAAGTATAATCCAATTACTTTTTTCAAGTAACAAGTAAAGTAAGTGATTACTATCACAAAACGTAATTAGATTACTGTTACTTTCCTGTAAGCATGCTGCATTACTGCATTTGTGAGAGTATCTCATGACAATGACGTAAGCGTGTTCGATGCCCATGGTAACAGACATGTGCAGATCAACAGTGGATAATATGCATGGAAGTACTGACCTTACTTTGAGTTTGATTCCATAAAAAGTGACAAAAACATTAGCGTCTGCTGTTTACTCTCCGTGGGAAGAAAGCTTTTTTCTACAGCGAAAAATTTAACTTCTAATCTGAGCGAGCAGCGAGCACGCTGCCACGGGAATGTCACATTCACAGAGAAACCCACGGATCCCACTGACATGACCACTGTGGCACCGGGCAAACCTCCGCTTGCTCCACTCCTGCTAAACAGGTGACAATAGATGTAAGAGCGACAGGACTTAGTGCCACTGAATCTTTGATTTTATTTATTTTTTGCTGTGTTTTACTTGCATCTATTTGAAAGAATGAGTGTAAACACATTTTTTTATTATTATTTTATACTCTGGAATATGCAGAAAATATGTTTGAATGTTAAATAAATTTCTTCAAGTCAAAGACAGTTGCATACAATTTAATTTGTGCTTATAATTACATTTTTGCTTAATGCTATGTGCATAAAGTTAAAAGATTAAAACTAATAAAACAAGTTTTAAAAAGAGACTTTTTCATTTGATTCAATTTTAGATGGTTTATATGCTTTATTACGTATTCAGATTGTGTATCATGTTTTTAAAAATTGACTAAGTAATAAAGTAACTAAGTAATAAAGTAACTAATTACTTTTGAAAATAAGACCTCGTCTCTTGCCCAATGGCACCTGATTTATTTCTAACAATTAAACAAAACTGTCTTCTGTTTTTTTGTTATGTTTTGTAAAGTTGTTGTCATTATTGCTATAATGTCTTTATAGGAAGATGTGTAAGTGTTATACAGGCACATTCAGGTATAAACACTAATGAAAGAGAAAAACAAATATTTGACACGAGTGGCAGGTCAGTACCTTTGATGGATTAATGGCCACATTTTCCCTATAAAGACAGTTTTTCTGAAGCTTTAATAAGGTAGGAGCTTCCATTATTGTATATCACACTGTGTAGGCAGTGTTCAGCATTTAATAAAAGCCCAGTGCACCACATCCTATCACAGCAGACTTATGTCCACCGTGGGGTTTCCCATGGTGCTCCTGGCTAGCCTGTATTATTATTATGTCTGCAGCATGGCCATACATACATTAAGTAACGATAATAGCTACCGCCTTGTGTCAGCTTTCATGAGTCAACAGGAGTCTGCCACCTGTGAAGACACTCTGCATTTTAATTTCCTCTCTTCACTCAGTCTGAAGCTCGCCGTCCGGCTGTCTCTTCTTCCAGGGCACTTTGGTGTTAAAGAGTGCATGCCTGCAGTCACTGATAACGGCTTCAGGCTTGACGACAGACATCCACATGCTGGTGGGGAGGTCTGTCACTCAAGATTACACTCTCATTTCCTCTTGTCCTCAAATCCTTCTTCTTTCCAGGAAACCTGGGCTGTCTGAGTAACACTCGGGTTCATGAAAACTCAAACAAAGACCAAACTTCAGAGATATGTTTGTTTTGTTAGTCATGATATAGGCACACGCATGTTCATTATGATTTTCTTTTCTAATGTGTAAAAAAAACTATTAAAATGTATATCTACAAATATTTTTTAAAGACTGTAAATTTAAAGGTACATATTTCAGCTAAGATATGACATGTAATTAACAAGAATTTCATTATGCAGTGAAACCTAATTATAGGTTATATTCATTCATGTGGGGAATCTCTTTGAACCTGGCAGCCCTCACCCTTAATATTCAACACATCACTTAACAAGCCCATGCAAAATGAAATCTACACAACCTCGGGGGCGCAAAGAAGTAAACTCTTCCAGAAATAAATATTATCCCAGACACTCACACCCCAAATATTACACCACAAGTCAAGGTGGAATCTAACAAGTATGATTAACCAGTTAACATATAAAAAACAAACAAACAAACAAAATAAACAAAAGAAAGGCAGCAAAAATACTTCTCAGGCTGCAAGAAGGCAAGAGAGAAGGAGTTTAGTTAAGCTTATAAAATTAGCCAGAGGTCACAAAAGCCGGTACATCTTAACGTAAAGTGTTCTTCAAACTGTGTGACCTTTACTTATCCAAATGTCTAACATCAGCACAAATACATTAATGGTACTGGTCAAACTAAAGAGCCACAAAAACTATATATATTCTAAGAAAGTAAAAAGGTTTCAGCATGGTTTGATTGATTGATTCATTGTTTTAGGAAGAGCAAGCTAACTCCACACAGAAAGGCCCCAACCTGCAGGTGGATCCAAACTTCCTGATGACCATCCGAGCTACACTATAATGCCAAAAGTATTCACTCACCCATCCAAAACATTGAATTCAGGTCTACCAGTCCCTTCCATAGCTGCAGTTGCATAAAATCAAGCACCTGAAGAGGCTTCTGCAAACACTGGTAAAAGAATGGGTCGCTCTCAGGAGCTCAGCAAAGTCTAGTGTGATACTGTGATAGGAAAGCACCTGTGCAACAAGTGAAATTTGTTAAAAATGTGCTGCAGATTAAGAACAAGAAGAAGAACCCTTAAATGATGTCATGGGTCTGGGTGCTTTCACCCAGCATTTTCAGTTTCTTGTGTTCTAGTAATATTTTGTATTATGGTTTATATTCATTTATAGTTTTAGTCATTCTATTGTGAGTTTCTGTTATTCCCTGTTTGGATTCTTGATTATTAGATTCCCTCTTGTGTCTTTGCTCTCTGTGTCTCTCTCGTTTTCTGTCGGTGTTTATGTATCCTGTGTGAGCCCTTGGGTCTTGTTTCCTTCCTTGTCTTCCATTCTGTTTCCAGCCCATCATGTCTCCTCTCGCTCCCCAGTGTTCCCTTGCTCCCTCTCGTCTGTCTTTCCTTCACTTCTCCGTCAAACTCAGTCTTGTGTTCCTCCATTTCCTGTGTTATTGTGAAGGTCTCGTGTTTCCATGTTCGGTGTGTCTTGTTCTGCTTCCCCTGTGGCGTCATGTTAATTCATGTCAGCTGTGTTCCCCGTGTGTTCTCACTTCCTCGTTATCCTTCTGTGTATTTATGTCCGGGTCTCCCTCTGTCCTGTGTCACAATCTCCCTCATTCCTCACTGTGTGTTTCTGTCTACCAGCTTGCCCGCCCATCTAGTTTATTTTGTATTCTCAGTTTAGTTAATGTTGATTTTCCTTGTGTTCAACAATAAAGCTGTTTTTTTTTTGTTTTTTTTAGTTTACCTTTTGCGCCCTGGAGTCTGCATTTGGGTCCTCCCTTCCTTCCTTTCGTTTAAAGGCCCACTGGGCTGCATGTTCATGTGTAATTGTAGAGACACCAGAGAGGAATGTCCAACTAACTTCTCCCACACACTTCTGGTCTGGATTCAAACCAATAAAGCTTCAGATATTTGAGAGCCTAATATCAGTTTTCACTGAGTGCACTCTTCACTTATGGAGATTTCAGTTTATTAGAGCACTGTGTTTTCTTTTTGTTAGATTCCATGACACGGCATGTGAATCGCTATTGGAGGTTGTGGCTTAAATCTGATTCTAAATGTCCCTCCACAGAGTTTTCATTTGGCATTAAAGTTTGAACATTCAAAACATGTTGAGCTCCTACTGAGAATAATTTAAAAGGTGGATAGGCTGGGCTCATAACAGGATAATTTAAAAGGGTGCAATGATTCAGAGCCACATGGGACTGAATCTCAGTACAAATGACAGGGACAAGGAGCTTTGTGACAGCACTGTGATGAATAACTTCATGGAGATTTCGCCCTGTTTTCACAGATATTCCTGTGTTGCCACTTCTGAAATACAGTTTCTATTTACCATTTTATTTACTTTTTAATAACCAGTGTTGGTCAAGTTATTTGAAAAAAGTAATTAGTAACAAATTACTGATTACTTCTCCAAAAAGTAATGCTGTTACTTTACTTATTTTCAAAAGTAATTCATTAGTTACTTATTTACTTTTTAAAAACATGATACCTGAATACGTAATAAAGCAACAGACCTTTCAGCCCAATTCTACTTTTTCTGCATAATCCATCATATAAAATTGAATCAAATGAAAAAGTTTCTTTTTAAAATTGTTTTATTAGTTTTAATCTTTTAACTTTATGCACATAGCATCTAGCAAAAATTAAATTATATGCAACAGTCTTTGAATTGACGAAATGTTTTAAGATTTAAACTATTTTCAGCATATTCCAGCATATAAAGTGAAATAATGTTTTGTGTTTACACTCACTCTTTCAAATAGATGCAAGTAAAACACAACAAAAAATAAATAATAATAAAATCAAAGATTCAGCGGCACTAAGTCCTGTCGCTCTTAAATCTATTTTCACCTGTTTAGCAGGAGTGGGGCTGGTGGAGCTTTGCCCATTTGCACAGCGGTCATGTCAGTGCGAGGATCCGGGGGTTTCTCTGTGAATGTCACATTCCTGCGGCAGCGTGCTCGCTGCTCGCTCAGAAGTTTAGGGGGTTTTGCTGTAAAAAGATGTTTTCTTCCCACACAGTCTACAGCGGACACCAATGTTTTTGTCACTTTTTATGGAATCAAACTCAAAGTAATGTGAGTACATCCATGCTTTAAACGCTGCACAGTTGTACTCTCTCCCGTACTCGATATATTATCCATTGTTGATCTGCACACGTCTGTTACCACGAACTTCGCACGCGCTTATCTCATTGTCATGAGACACTCTCACAAACGAAATCACGGTTTAGTGACGAAGTAAATCAGCGTGCTTACGGGGAAGTAACGGTAATCTAATTACTTTTTTGCAATAGTAATCCCTTACTTTACTCGTTACTTGAAAAAGTAATCAGATTACAGTAACACGTTGCTACCCATCTCTGTTAATAACTGATTCCTTGTATCTCGGTGTATTTTGCGAGCCTCCTCTAAGTGTTTCTTTGTGTCATGTTTCATTTGTTACTTCCTGCTTTACCTGTCTTATCTGTAGTTTTATTTCTTGTGTATGATTACGTTGATTGCGCAACATCTCGTTTCCCCCGATTTCCATTTCCCTGGTTACCCTCATGTGTGTTTCGATAGTCCAATCCTTTCCCTCAGTCACACCCTGGGTGCTTCCTAATTAGATTGGTGAACTTTAAGACTTAAGTTGGTTTTCCTTATGGAGCTTTGAGGAAACAGGAAACTAACACTGACACAGAAACTAAGACACATGAGCTTGATAAGCCCAAGTAAAGACAAAGAAAAAACTCAGACTTGGCATGCGGAACATAGGATGGAAAGAAAAAAGTTAGTAACTAACAAGATCAGAATGAAAACATAACCTAGGCAAAGGTAATATCAAAAATGGAAAACTACAACTCAAGCTGAAAACTGAGTCCAGTTTGTTAATGACAGGCACATTGGTCAATTTGGAGGGGGCTGATTATCTCCAGGGTTCCTCAGACATTGACTGAACATGAGTGGCAGGTGTTTAAATGTAAAACACTATGTACTGTAAATCAGGGGAGGATGAAAATGTGCAGGGCCTGGTGCAGACTGCCGACGCAATGAGAAAAGTTGTAGCTCTAAAAGTTTAGGCTATCTGTGCTCGCTTCACTTTATAGCTTCTCCTATTAAACTCAGGATGATAATTTGATTCTCTGTGGTGCAGTAAAGTGGATTGGATGATGTCAGGAATGCACGATGCCAGGGGTTCAGTTTAAACCCGGTTCACACTGTGCTCACCCAGTGAGTACCACGTGTATCATCAAATCTGCGCACCACGCAGAGAAGAGATCCAGTGTGTAAATGTGTCTCAGAACAAATGAATTTGAGTGTGTTTGCATGCACAGCTCGTCTCCAGGTTTGTGTTTCTCCTGCTACGTCAGTCCTATTAGCCACGGTTTATTTTTAGCCAGGAGGTCGCAGCCAAACAGCGTGGGAGACCATTCAGAGAGACGCAAGCCTGGAAGGAGGTCAACATGGTGACAGAGTTGTGCCGTGAGCATGATAACAAGAACTGAACCAGTGATGAAGGCAGTGCGGGGTTCTGAAAATCCAGATCTGAGCAATTTGTACATGCTGCATGGAAATGCACTCAAAAACCATTCTTATCCCTGCACGTTTTAATGGTATCCTTCAGTGATTCAGAGTGTTGTTCCATAACCATCTGCCATTAGCCAAAGAGCATAGGATAATTGTTTGATTTGAAAGTAATAACACCGGATTATTTTACACTTACAAATTCAATAAAATGTAAAAGGATAATGTTGGATATGTTAGTAGTTGCTGATGTGAAGAAGGCGATTTAGATGGTGTTCTGGCCATCTAAATGTGTACTGTATCATATAACAGCATGTAACATGCAACTGAAATGTTCAGAGTTCAAATTTAGCCGGGGACCTTTGTTATATGTCATTGCACTCTTTCTCTTCTCATTTTCTGCAGTTCTTTACAGTTTGCTGTCTTAATAAGTCAAATTTGTTCAAATATCAAGATTAAAAAAATATTCATGTGCAATAAGTAGGAATATCCTTTGAAGAGACGTTTTGAGTTTTCCTTTTCCTTATTACAAAGAAAGCAGCTGTAGTGAAGACTGAGTGCAATCCAAAACCCAGCTGATAACAGTGCTAATATTATTCACAATTCTCTGGTTTCCACTGAATTTAAGATCAGAATGTGAGTTAAAGGCTCTGTGTGGCATACATCTAAAGATTACAGGACACATTAGGACAATTCATATTTTATGGATTAACCTGACAGTCAGTTTACTTGTGCTCAATTCACATGAGGTTAAATAACATTTGAGTATTATAGTTGAATCTATGAATTAGTATCTTTGAATGTATGAAATTGTGAATCACTGAGTTACAGTTTAAAGTACTGTCTGTGCTAACTAATATTAAATCGTGCTATATAAATTCCACACTTTTACTTCCTGTTGTTCTTTTCCAAAATGCCAGGAAGAAAAAATCTTAATGAAGACTCAGAACTGGATCTTCACCTGCTAACTTTTGCCTTTACTGACTAATAAGATTCAGCTGATAATTTTGTGATTTTTATTTCACATGTACAGTATCTATAAGTCTCTTTGTGAACTCAGCAGCAGGATAAATATAGACTTTAAGGCAACTTTATTACCTTACTCATAGTGTCATCTAGTTGACACTTGAACTACATTTACAACTTACGTTTGTCACACACCTGCGTATGCGAGGTGGTGGAATCGAAAAGTATTGACTGTGCCTATAAAAAGAAAACACATGCCATATTAGGTAGCAATGATACACTGCTCGAAGTGCTCCTGTCACTTGCAAAATGCTTGCTTGAAGTCCTGTTCTGAATGCATGTCATGCACTGCCCAGAGGACATGCTGGAACGCCAGCTGGGGACTGTATCAAGACACTGGCCCTTCAACTTGAATTTTACCTTGGAGAGGACGACATAGCTGCAGGGGGTACAATGTGATATGTAAGAAAAGTGGGGAGTTTAACCCCGGGTCACAAATTCACAACCCCATGAATGATGAAAAATACCAGTTGAACCATCTTCAGTCTTTGTAGCCTGCAGATTGCTGTTTGGTCTCTGGATCTCCTGTGGATCACACATAGTGGATTCTGCTCCACTGTGCAATGCCTGCACATATAAAGTAGTCACAAAAATGCATGTCCTACTGTTGATGATGCAAAATAATGTCAAAGTATAAGTGTATGTTATACAAATGTCACTGGCATCATACCTATACCAAAGCACCATGAAGCTAACACAGAGCAAAAAGTGTATCATCACATCCACAAAGTGTAGACACACCTGCGAGTGTGTGTGAGGTGCAGGGCAGAGTGGCATCATTTAATGTAGCAGCTAGGGTTAGCTTAAACACTCAGAGCTGAGATAGAGACAGGAGTGGTAATTTAATCTGTAAATAAATTAGGAATTTAGTCCTCAGCAGTTTGCCCGTCTCCTCAGCAACACCACAACAGCCAAACTGCACCTGTGTGAGTAACTCAGTCCCGCTAATGTTTGCTGTGAGAACTGAATCTCCAGGTGTGTGAGAGAAGCTGCCGGCCAAATTTTAGCCAGCCATAAAATGTGTAAATAAGCTGAGGCTACATCATAGCGCTTAGTGACAGGCTTCCATGACAAATGGTGGTTTGAGAGAATCCAGTAGTGCTCCTGTTATTTAGCTCTACCTAGCAATGGATCGCCCAGAATACAATCATATGTGTTAAAATGCCATAAATATTTCATTTTTACATACACAAATATCATTAGTACCCTTATATCATCACACCCCTACTGTGAACCAAACATACTGGTAAAAAAAAAAAAATCACTGTGGCACAACACATATTTGTTGTGTTGTGCCAAGCAGAGCCAATTTTGTAAAAAAAAAAAAAAAAAAAACTAATTGTGACCCACCAAACATTTACACACCTGATCATTTAGATGCAGCGAGATGGATAAGGACAGGTCTGATCTACTCAAACATCCTGGTGTACAGTATATGCCAGACTTCAGGTTTTAATCTCAAAGCATGTTTTTTATTCAAAATACAGAATAATACTTCTGCAATATTACACAGCATTTTAATCTGATGAGATTCCAATGAACAGAACCCAAAGAAAAAGTATGAAATAGAGCATGTAGTTAACAGTTCAGTTATGAGGTGTAAAGTGGGACAGTTCATAAAAGCAGCGATAGTGGAGGCAGCGACTGTAAGCCAAGAACGTGTTGAGAGTGCAGAACAGGAGAGAAATGGAACCTGATAGAGGATGACATTAAATATTCATGTGATGTTTAATAATGAAATGAACTCATTCATACTCAGTCGATTCAGTTCAAAAAAGTTGCAGCGACAGTTCACCCTTCATTCAGGCAGAGAAGCACTTTGTTTTAACAGAAATCATCCGAGAAAAACCTTGAAGGTAAAAACCTGGCAGCTGATTAACACAGTGCAGCTTCTGCAGGACTGTGTAGTCCCCTCTGTACTTACATTTAAAATGTCAAACCAATACTGTTCTTACAGTGTTCTTGTATCTGCATGTGATGAAGATGACAAGACAGGAGTGTTACGTTACATTTATAACAGCCAAATATATATAAATACATGTATATGTACTGGTACAATATTACAACAGGATGGACCTGTCTCCTTGAAGTTATATTTATACGCTGAACACAGTGAATGGTGATCATTTATTTTATCAGCCATATATATGGAAAGTTTTGTAAGCTCATATATGACCTTGAAAATATACTCAAACAAGCTTTGATCTTATTATAATTTCCATTTCTGATTACTGCAGAAATTCTAATGTTTTCCAGTGAACCAAGTAGCAATAGTGATATTGAATCATATCAGCATTATTTAGTGCTGCAGAAGCTTCATGGCTAACCCGCAACACAATCCCTTTTTGGCTTTTAAAAAATATAACTGAAAACCATTTTAAAAGCATGTACCATCCATTTTCTTCTGCTTATCCAATTCAGAGGGATACAGCCCAGTAACAATTATATTTTACTGACAAGTTTTTGTCAGTAAATACACAATTTAGCAGCTTTTTCTTTTTAAATTTACAAAAGTGTTTTTGTTTTGAATTAAATGCATATAATTGTAATTTCAAGAAGACGGGCTCATACATGGTTATGCAGGTAATTCGAAATAATCTCAATATACACAAAGGATCAACAAAAAACATCATAGCAATCATAAAGGAGCTCTGCAGGAGGAAAGGAAATCAGGGTTGTTTTTTTTCACACATCACTAAAAATAAACTTTATGACTTTCTCAAATTGGCAGTCAGCACACAGTTCTGATGATGGTGTGGTCACATCGTTACCTGAGCAGAAAGGCAGCTTTTTAAAAGAAAATGAGAAAGCTATCGAAGCGTAGCCACAGTAAATGTATTTGGGGTAAAACAAGAGTGACATTAACACAACATTTAACTGCTGAATGCTCTCGGCTTGTGCAATTGTGCATCTATGAGCAGAACCTTTCTCAGAGTAAACACACAGAACAAAAGTCATTTTAAAAGCTTATTAGCTAATGGGTGAATTAGCTATGTGAATAATAAATAAGGAGAGAAATTAACTGGAAAGCATTTTAATATGTGTCGAGCATCATAAAAATGTCAGCAATGAAGGTGGCAGATATTTTAATTGGCATTTCAGCAAATTCTTAAATAAGTAGTGAGTTTAAGTAGAGGGATGAAAATCATGAATATTAAAAAAAAAAAGTTGGAAGGAACAAAATTTTTCTTTTCTTTTTTTTAAATCATTTTTGAATTATTAACAACAATAGCCTCTAAACCCTGCAAGACCATTAGTAAGACAATACAGAAGTGTTTCCCACACACATCTGAGCAATAAGGTCACCACATTCTTTGTAAATTAATGGCTTGTTGTGCAACAGAAAGAAATTAAAGCTATTTTTTACTAAATTAGGATACGATAATGGGATATTTTGGTAAATGCAGTAACTAAAGCACTAGTAAAACCAGCGACTCTTTTAACAAAATTGCTCTAAGTCAACAGAAAAAGCTATCTCTTTGGTAAGACATCTCTGGGAAACCTCCTCACTTCTCTGCACCCTCCCCCTTACAAGAGGGGCAGATAAAATGCACCATCACCTCCAGTCCACTAGCTACTGCTGTCCTTGTGAGGGAGGCACTTCTGCCAGGGGCTGTAGGGCAACGCCAACAGCAGGAAGAGGATCCCACCCACGATGAGGACAGCCCCCGCACAGCCAATACATGATACTGACCAGGAGAGCTCATGGTGGAGAGGAACTGTGTGATTGCTGGCAAGAAAAGCCAAAACAGACTGGTGGAAAACCAAGAGGGACAGGAGCACGAGAACACCTGTGATGGAGGAACCAGAACGAGCTGTGAGAGGTATAGTTTTGGATAAATTTGCCTTTGTGAGGGTAACTTTGCTGCTACCTTTACTGACCTGACAGAATGAAGCATACAGATGCTGGTTTAAGGAAAAACAGGATCTCCTTACTGAGAGCCATAGTGATGCAGATGGCGCCCATCACCATCAGAAACAGGCTGAATAGGGCCAACATTGCTGCTGCCACATTCAGATCTACATAGGGAATAATGACGGTGTTAATATAAGTGGATTTTGAACAGAACTCGATCAAAAGGTGGTTCATTTATTTCTGTGTTCAACAGGAAAAACGTATCGTATCTAAAAGACAGAGCGGACAAGTTTGTAACCAGCTGCTGCCTTTTAAATGCCGCCATTGTTTTTGTCTCACTGTAATGTTGCTGTAGCATAGCGTTAGGGGGTGTCAGCACAGAAGGAGACTACCAGAGAGGATACCACTGACTGAAATGATGAAGTGGTAAAAACATTAGATGGTTACATACACAACTGGCGCCTTGTTCTGTAGCAATCAACTGTCAGCAACAAAGCGATGCATGACGAGTAAATTGCTTTAAATGCGGACAGGGCTTTCGTGTGTAACAGCTCGTAGCAAGGTTGAACAAATGATACGTAAACCATTTTATATTTGTGTTAGTAGGAGTCTATTTCATGGAAAAAAGATACACAATTAGCCAGTTCACTAATGACGGGGGTGACACAGTTGAGGAATGACAGTAACAAATTGCAAATGATTTCCAGTAGGAATGATAAAGCAGCTTTGTACGCAGTTTGGTTTGACTAATGAAAAATTAGCAATGGGAATGATCCCATGTTGCAAATCACAGCTTCCATGTTAAGGCATGAGGTTTCAGGAGCTTGCTCAAATAAAAGCTGCTTAACATTCCAGTTTGTGAATCACTCTGTTGTAATAAATGCTCAACTAACATTGTGACTGTATACCCAAACTAAATCTTAAAGTATTGAAACTACAGTGAATTCATGTTTTGGGGCATGCTCAATCATCCAGGTAAGTAAACACTAAAAGGTTGATTCTGTTCATCCGGACGTAACGTTTTCAGTGGGAGAAACGTTTCGTCACTCATCCAAGTGACCTCACAGCCCATTGTTCATTCAGTGGGCTGGTTTCAGTCAACGTGCAAATGTACTGTTTTTAAGGTTGGGGAAACCTGCAGCTGAGCCTGAAGAAGTCAATTGGATGAGTGATGAAACGTTTCTCCCACTGAAAGCGCTACGTCCACATGAACAGTGACACAAGTTAGGTTGAACACAAAATCGGAAAACCCTTGGCTAGCATACACTCATTTAGATTCTGGAGATAAAAGTTAGTATTTTGACCTTTCCCATAAAACCAGCTGATATCCAGGCCAAGACTTCCTCTTCCATGTGCCAGTCATTGTTTATGAATGCTAAAATGTCATTGGACAGTTTAGATTTTGGCAAATTTATTTCCACAGTTGCGCTGCACATGGACTCATTTACATGAACACAACCAGAGCTTTCTAAATTTGATTAGACTTCAGGTGGAATACAAATGCAAATAAGAAAGCTTGTAGTAATAAAAAAAATGTTTGTTTATAGGTGATATTTGATTCTACTTATTTGCAGAAATTGTTTTGCATAGATTACACTGAAGACACATTTGAGTTGAAAATGTGTATATTATATATATTTTTTTAACTATAAGACAGCGGTCCATAACCTTTTTTGTGCCATACACCGGTTTATGTCCAACAATATTTTCATGGACTGGCCTTTAAGGTGTAGCAGATAAATACAACAAAAATTAAACCAGTACCAAAAAAAAGAACATCTATTCATAACACACAGAAAAAAACCCAGGGAAAGCGAGTTAACGATAAAAGAAATAACGATACAAATCAATAAAAACCCTGAAAACTATAAATTTCACACCCAAGCCTCAACTCATGACCGGTCCATGGTCCACTGGTTGGAGACCACTGCTATAAGAGACAGAATATAAAGTAGTGCGATAAAGTTGGGAAAAGACAGAAATTTTAGGGTCATCTTATTTGTTGGATTCTGACAACATATATATCCTGCCAAAAAAGAAGACAGCACTTTCTCTGCTAGCTACAGAGCTACAGATAATGTAACAGAAAATTTTTGTGTTGAACAATTTTCAGTCCCTCCAAAACCACCGATGCTACAGATGTAAATGGCATGTTGGATGTCTTGGAAAGTGCTTTTATTCCAATAACACAATCATCTTCAGATGTAAAAGGTTTGGATAGGTGTATGGATTTTGAATTAGACTCCAAATGAATTATTTTTCATACTCGTGGCGACTTTAAATCACTAGATTGAGGCTTATAGCGTGACAATGATGTGGCACCAGTGAACAATGAGTTTTTAATGTACGTGCGTCTTTCTTCATTCAGTGTATGGCGCTGTGTGATCTTAATACATTATGAAACTGCCAGTGAAATGGGAGGTTAGACAGCAGCTCGGAGGCACTTGAACGCAGCGTAGGCGGAATGCATTTCAAACACTCAGGGAGCAGACAATGATCAACCTGAAAGAGCGTAGCAAGGAGGTGAAGGGAAACACAGAGAAAACGATGGGACAGAGAAATACAGGGATAGATCATGGGAAAGGTGATGGCAGGATAAGAGAGGATAAAGATGAAAGGGCAGAGAGGGCACAGGTAAAAGGGGGAGGGGGTGGGGTCAGTGAGAGGTACATGTGGAGAAAAAAGAAAAGAGAAGAGTGGGCAGCTGAAAGAGCCTAAGTGACTCACTTTTCTGTGTCGTCTTCTGAAACATCACAGCATTTTCCCCTGTAGTAAAAAACTTGAAGTACGTGCAGTTTGATTCTGCAGGAGACGAAAGGAGAGCGAAAGACAAATCGCTATAAGTGACATGAACACTGACAGGTAATCTCCTGTAGTTGCAAATTATCTTGATCATCTTTTTGAAATTCAAGAAGCCACATCCCCACATCCTCTTCCTCGTCCCACCCCTGGATGCTTTGGTTTCAATTATTCTCCATCAAACATAATCAGCCGTGAACGTCAATGACAAGCTCAAGGTGACAACCCAATGCTTCCTGCACAATTTGTATTCTGCCTTCTTGATGATGTGTTACAGTAATTAGAAATTGGCCGTCAAATAGATTGTGACACCTCTATCTGTTCCCTTGTGCATTGGCAAACACGAGCATGCACAACACGCGCACACATCACTCTTAATTAGTGTGATCAAAGCCGCATCCTCAGTGTTCTGGCTTGGTCTCTTTTTTTTCTGCTGCCGCAGCTATAAGAGTTTCAGCGAACACTGCAGCACTCTAAAATCCCAATTGACAGAATTCAAATCCCATCAACAAATAAAGGCTCGCTGTAGCTGGCCAGTCAGGCAATAATTGGACTTTCCTTTCATTGACCACAGAACATGTGTACACTTTAATCCCCAAAGGAATTTGTGGGCCAGCATTTCCATCATCAGTGTCTGGCTAAGAAGAAAACCCCTAAAATAACATCTCACATTTAAATTGGATAAAAGATCTTAATAAAGCAGGAAAGTCAGAACAGTCAGTGATGTAGCAGTTCATCTGACTCATGATCCATCAGTTCCCAGGTTATTGCCTGTAAATTCAACAAATGTGACCTTGAACACAGAATGGGTGAAGACAATATTGTAGGTGGAGTAGCAGGTCTCCTGAACTGTGGACAGACAGATGGATGGACACATTGTTGTGGTATATACTGATCAGTCCTTTGACTGGATGAGATCAAATCTGAAAATTCAATGATGATCATTTTTAAATTCTGAGGTTTGGGTTCAGCAACTTGCTGTTTTTCATGTTCTTCGAATAAATAAATCTGTGAATGAATAAATATTTGAGTTTTTATTGAAAATTGTAGTATAGACTAAAAGCTCAACTTTATATACATCCATATTATATTAAGAGGAGATTTTATCTCAAATTATACTCCATACATTCATAAATGGAATCACTGAACTTTTTCAGAATGCATATATGCGTCACTATTAGTGCTATGTACTATAGCCTAATAGTGCTATAGTACTATAGCCTCTGTAGAAACTATCTACACCCTCACTTATCTTAACTGCACTACTGTATAGTTCTGTGTAAATAATCATTCTGTACATTCGATAATCTTTAACCCTACAACTGTTTACAACTTGCATAGTTCCCATTTCTGTATAGCTGTATATCTCAGATTCTGTAAAGTTATTTATTTCATATTCTGTATAGTTTTTCATATTTATATCCTGTACATAGCCTGTCCATAGCTTGTACTCACTACAGCCTGTACATACTTATAGTTATAGAATATTCACAACATACTTCATACCGTGTACATTATAACATACCATAATAGACCCATTTCTGTAATATACTCACATATCTATATTATTGCTAATATATATTGTAATATATCTATATCACTAAAGCACTTCTGGATGGATGCAAACTGCATTTCGTTGCCCTGTACCTGTGCATGTGCAATGACAATAAAGTTGAATTCTATTCTATTCTATGTGACATCTCAATATGGCTACATAATATCTTTGTTTGAGCAGAATTAAATCTAACCATCAATGTAACCATATAAAAAGAAAAAAATGAATAAAATGAGAGTATATTATATTAGTGATGGGTGGTCCAGCTCTTTTCAAAGATTTGGCTCTTTTGACTCGGCTCCCTTAGAAAAGCCTGGCTAAATGGCCCTTCATTCAGAGCATTGTATTTTAACCTAATTTAGCAGTTCCGAATTATGGTACTTTTGCATTTTGCTCATTTCTTTAGCCTTGAAATCAAATTCATCTCCTTGTCTCTCTGTCTCTTGCCTGTACCGCTGCACTCGTTGTCTCCTGAAGCCTCTGCCTTCTTGCTTCTTTTACATAATGTTATGATCCTTGCCTGTCTTTGCATGTGATTGGTCTGCTTGGTGTGCCCAGCAAAATAAAGAAGATTCTCAGCAGAGCTGAGCAGGAGCGGTTAAAAGTTGTTTCGCTTTTGTTGTTTGCTACAAAGAATCGGCTCGTTTGCAAATGACACATGTTGCATTTATTGTTCTACTGCCCATGATGTTCTGCAGGGTGTTTGACTTTGTAACACATGTACTGCACTTACTATGTTCCAGTAGTTTTTAACATTGTAGTTTAGCAATTTAAAGGAGTCTATAACATAAAAGGAGGTTTGTTTTGTTCTTTGACAGTGAATCTTTTTCCTGATGGTGAGGGTGCAGGCCTAGAATTTTACTTGTTTCAGCTTCATATTCATTCCTTCCACATGTTCAAAAAATCTCACTGCACCCCCATTACCCTGTAAAGCTTTCTCACTTGATGATAATCAAAGAGATCTCTTCTCTGATAAGATGCAGAGATGTCTCTGTGGACTCCTCAGTCCAAAATCTCAATTTTGTTCTTTTATACGAATCATATAGCAAAAAGAGGAGTTCATACAGGTGACTCATGGAAAATAGGAGCGATACTGCAAATATGTCCTGGTCCTGGGTCTGGTCATTCAGTGTTTCTGATTTTGAGTTAAGTTATACTTTTTGTATTATGGCTTTCTGGTTGTTTGGTAATTATAGTTCTGGTTTTTAGGTTTTCTGTTCTGTTTCTGTGTTTTTTACTGTGTTCCACGTCTAGTCAGTTTTACCTCTGTGCCTCATGTTTCCTCTGTTCCCAGGTCTGTCATGTTTCCACGTCTTAGTGTCAAGTGTCTGTGTGAATTGTCTCATGTTTCCCGTTTTATTTTCATAGTCCCTGTCCTGCGTGCAGTGTTTCTAGTTTTGCCTCCCCTTGTCTTGTTACGTTTGATTACTCCCAGCTGTGCTTTCCTCCTGTGTCTCATTCCCTCATTTCCCCTCACTGTATTTAAGCCCTGTGTTTCTCTCTGTCAGTGTTGCTTTGTACCGTTACCATGCTGTGTGCTTTTCCCCCCTCCGTGTTCTTGGTAGGGTTCTACCTCTATTCCCAGTGTCTTAGTTCCTTGTCATTAATTTCTAGTGTTCTGTTTTTGGATTTTTGGTTCCTAGTATGTTTTTGCTACAGCGCAATAAAGCTGTCACTTTTAGTTCACCCTTGTGTCCTGTGAGTGCTGCATTTGGGTCCTTCATCCTATCTGCCACACAGCACACCTTGACAAAATAGCTTTAACAATGTTTCCAAAGTTTTCCAACCCACAGTCTCATTTTGTTCTGCTGCCCCTGCACCTGAAACTGTAAGTTGTGAGATCAGTAGAACCTGATTAGGCTTGAGAACTGGTAGGGTATATGACAGCATAGAGTTGGAACATTGGGTATTATTTTAGTCTATTGGTGTTGAAGCGCTGTTTTGGACATTTTGAAGCCTCAGCTGTGGGCTGTTTGAGCAAGAAGAGACCATATTTGCATTAGAGGTTTTCATTATCAGCTAATGATAGCAAGCTTGATTAGCAGGCTGCATCCATAAATTCTATAGGTGCAACACACAGACACCTGCTAATTGGTGATAGACTAGAATTTTACACCAAAACTAAAGCACAAAATTCTTGAGTGTTCTAATTATTAGTTAATGGACCAACAGCACAAGTATGAAGGGACTAAGTATATATAAGCCAAAGCTGTTTTCATACCAGGATGTAAAAATGACTTTTATTGCTGTAAAGTTTGGCATTTTAAAATGGGATTCTGAGATCTGAAGTTTTTTGCAGTTCAATGTGGCAGTTGTTTTGCTGCTTCGGTATACACTAGACAAGTCAGTCTATCACAAGGATTACATATACCACCACATACTCTTCCATCAAAACATATGATCAGTTTAGAATGACCTGTTTATCTAATGTGCATGCCTTTGGACTATAGGAAGAAAGTACAGCGAGAACATGCAGAGTCCACGCAGACAGGCCCCAGCCAACCACTGCTGAAAACTGCACCGCTCTCTCATCATGGCAGAACAGCATTTGAAATCATTAAAACAGATATATTAAAACCCATGCAGTATGAACACAAGTTAAAATTCAAGTGTTTAGACACTCAAACCAGAAGCCGGATATTGTTGTCCTTGTTCTGTTGTATCCCTTCACTTGACCCAAAAACAAAATGTGGACCATTTCACTCTGTAACAATGACTCAGTCAGTTACTCAGCCAGACTATTCAGCCTGCCAGCCATCAAACAGTGAGCCAAGCATCATTTGTCTAGCCAAAAAGTCAGGTAGACCACTCTTTCATTCTAACTCTCTCCCTCAAACTGAACTGTCCAACAAGCTCGAAGGTTTGACAAACGTCCAGACAGCTCATTGCTCCATCAATCATCTGTTCAAACCTCTTTTCATCAGACGGACTAGTCATCCATCATCCAAAAGTTAGACACACATCCACCCAACCAGTCAGTAATTTCACAAGTCACCTCCAGCCAGTTCAGCAGGTCCGCAGCTCTCTCTCTCTGGGTCAATATCAGACACCCACAGGGTCTTGGTGCAGCCCTTCCACAGCCCATAGTGGGCTGTCAGACAAGTCTGCAAAACAAAGACTGTTGATTTAAAATCAGGGGTAATATTTTTTGCCATCGATCACAGGGTTTTGCCCTTTGGACCAAACAGCCTTTCATTTCTAAAAGGAAATGACTGTTTAGTTGGTACTTTAGCCCGTACTACTTCTACCCTGGACAGATAATATCTAAGACACTCTGTCACATCTGTTTATCAGTGAAAACAGCAACATAGCTCATGAACAGAAAAAAGTCTGACTTTCACCTGATTGTTATAGAAACTCTTCGGCGGTGCCAGCTCCACCCAGAACTCAGTCCCGACCCCGAGGACTGTCAGGACTACACCAACAATGGCGACAAAGAATGCTAATTTGATCTGGTGACAAAACAAGAACAATTTAAGTTAACATAAGGATTTTTTTTTTCATAAATGTACTGTCACTGGCGTGTACTCAAGTCGTGAGGTGTAGTCAGTTACAGTGTCCCTTACACGCTGCCCTTTAGTCTCTAATTGTTAGCGTTCATTCCCAGATTATACAGTCTATTCCTATTTGGTAAGGACCCACACCTGCCAAAATCTAATACACAACACAAGATAAATTGCAGACTAACTAATGTTCCCCATTTATATAATATTTTATTCACAGCATTGTGCAAAAGTCTTAAAGTACCATTTCTTTATATTTTGCTTGGAAAATTGGGACTAGTTGCAATGATTATTGAAGCAATGCGGTATATAAGGCAAAACCAGACAGCTTGTACTCTCTTAGGCAACCTTTCTTTTAATTTCTTTTAGTAGTCTTCAGGGGTTAGCCCCACTGCCTAAAATATAGGCCCAAAGTATGACAGAGCTATTTTTTTTCTTTGTCATTATGCAAATGACCAGATGTTCATTCAAAGAATAGTGTAACTGCCACTGCCTCCACTAAGAACACCATTAGATAAATTTCCAGGTTATTGCTTATAAATAACTTTTGAATACCGTCAAATTCAATGTAGTGACAAAACGGGATGTAAACATCTTAAATAAATATGTTTAGATAAAACTAAATATACTGCATATATATGAGAGGGAGAGTATTTAATAGAAAGTTAAACAAGCAAGTTAATGAAATGAAATGAAGACATCACTTTCAGTTTGTCACATATTTATTTATTTCTAAATGTATTTTTAACAGTAGTTTTTAGGGCATTTTACTGAGGATGTGTTGATGAATTTGTTGATTTATTTCTGTAATTTAAATTTTGTCAGTTGTGATCCTCCATACCATCCAAACAATAAACGGCAGCATAGAAATAGGCCTCCTACCCATCACTCCTACACACAGCACTACACAGAATCAAAATGGTGCTTTCAGAGGTGTCTGGCTGAGCTCAGTTACATAAAATTACTTAGATTATTTAGACTAAGTCTGTAAAGCACATAATGCAGACTTTTTTACTAGTGACCAAACAAAGTTATGTCCCATTCCCATTTTTTCCCACTGCCTGATGTTGTCAAATGAATGACAGACAGCAAGGCCAGAAAATTGTTCTAATAGTAAAATAATACAATTTTGAAATAGGAAAATTAATAGCTTTTCATAGTCACATACCTATTTGACACCTATAGATTGCATTTCAGTTTAATCTTTATCACCTTATTGTCAGATAACTGAAATTAATCTTTTCAAAACATGTATTTTCTAATATTCAGAGACATTTTCTGATCCTGTGGTGTGTTCCCTGTACCTTGACTTCACTTAAGGCAGCTATTTGATTGGTTCTGTTACCTCCAGACTACGATCATGCATCCAGAAAGTAAACATACATGTACACAATATAAAACCAGTTACCTTTCCCTCCTGGGCCTCACTCATGGCATGTCCTGTTGATGTTGTCCTGCGGCGCTTGTTCCCACCAAATGTACTGCGTCCACTCATCAGGCTGGCCAGACCCCCTGCACCCTGGGCTGGTCCTCCTGGTACAGGCCCGCCAGCCACTCCGGGGGTCCCTGGGCCTACAGTGCGGCCCTCCTCGTCAGTCACAAAAAACGTTGACCACATTTTGAGAAAATATAAAACTACCAAGGAAGCCGAGCAGGGTCCAGTCTGTGTTCTAACTCGATTTGGGCTTTTCTTCAATTCAAGATTAAGAGTAGAGCAAAAACAGAGGAAATGGCTAGTTAGGAATTGAAAGAAAAACAATTAAAATGTCCAGAATGGGACCAGAAACTAGACATACAACGTCTTTAGGAGGAAAAGGTGCCAATTATCCTTCTCTTGAAAAAAATGCTGAGGAAAAATGGTGGCTTGGATGACAGATACAAAACCGCTAAGTGAATCATCATGGAAAAAATAAACAATTACAGATTAAAGAAGATGTACTGAGAAGAGTATCTTCTGAACATCAGTAGAGGTAGGTCAGGAGAGTAAGAAAGGACATTTCCTAGAATGAAAAGAGGGAACAAAGAATTAAAATGTAAGAGCCATTAAATATGTTTATATCATCATAAAAGAGGCTTCACATACAGAATGTGCAAAACAAGAGTCACAGAAATATTCAAAAGTGTCAGCTAGTCATTTTGCAAAAGGCTTTATTATATAAAATTTTATTTTAGTAACAGAAATCTGAATTCTCAAATATACATATACAAAGTCAATATAAACTAATTCTTATCTTTTTGGACATAAAAACCAAAAAGCATTAAATATGCAGAATTTAAAAAATGTTATTAAAGGAAATGCAAATGTGTAATATCATGATCTGGCTCTTTGATTCATAAAAAACCCAGCAATTTAAATCAAATGATTACATCTAAAACCATTGTGAACTTCATCAGAGGTCCCAACTCATACAAAGACATATTACACAGGTCTGTAACAAAAAAACTCCATAGGATTTTTTGACTGTTTCTTATAGATGTTTACTATGGAACAGGATTAGGGCCACTGGGGGGAAAAAAACTTTAATCTTAGAATTCAGGCTTTTTTCTCTGAATTCTTTTTTTCTCAGAATTCAAACTTTTTTTCAGAATTCAGACTTTAATCTCAGAATTCGGGGGGTGGTAACATAAAATTTACCAAAAATATCCCATGCAGCTGAATATTTTTTTCTTGAAGACATGTTTTATTTATGAGAAAGTATTGTATTATAAAACTAAATCCAGCTTTGACATTTCATTGTGACTGACCCATGGCTCAAGCAAGATGGTTATTTATGTCAGTGAACAATATAAAAGTCCATTATGAAGTCTCATTATCCGTATATCACCCAGGTGTAAATAATGTCAAACTCTCCAAAAATAGAAACTTTCATGAATGTCATTTGTTAAATCTTAAAAGTAAATGAACAGTTCACAAGACTCTAATTGGGCCATAAAAATGTCTATTCTGTTCTATTCCTGTGTGATCTGAGCCCACATGAAGCAGCTTTTCTGTAACAAAAGTCCACTGTAATTTGAGCCAAAAAATGACTGCATTAAATAACCAGGATTCAGTGCTTTCATCAGTGCACTTAAAAAACAGGAAGAGCACAATACTAGAAATCAGAAATAATTATCTGTGCCCTGTTCTCCATTTTTCATAAGGACACTAAGCCAATATAAAGGCACTTAGCATGGTGGTGTCAAAATCAATTATCTATTTTGAGATGTTGACAGCAAGCACATAGAAAAATAGTCAGCATAGTGAAATCTTAACCTGCTATCTATTCTGAGATACTTTGTGGTACCTCAGCGACACTCATCATGTTCAAGACACGACCAATTACCTATTCTGAGAAACTCTGTGATACGAAGTCACACAGACACATCGCCAGTGAACTCAGTCTTAAACCCTTTGTTTCTGGAGGGGGAATGACGCGGCTGCCCCGCTGAGTTCCACCCAGATGCGGTGACAACAGACACAACATGCAACCCTGTGTCTTGTTAGCAAAAATGAAAGATGTTCCCTGGGGAGAAGACACAATTTTACTTTCATATCAGCATCTACCTTGTGAATAAGATAACAAGTCACAGAGTGCAGGCTTAGAGACGTTTTCAGTCAGGTTTGTGAAACAGAGATAATAAGCCACAACAACACAGTAGAATATAAACATATGATCACATTAACAGACAAAATCCTCCACTTAATGCACATCTTCAAATTCTAAACCTTTACATATAATAATGCACTTCATTATAGTGATTTATCTCTGTTGATTGTGAAAGTGTCTTGCACAGTAAGTAGAGTTTTTTTAAACCTCTTATCGCAGGGCACAGAAGGATTTGAGCCTATCCCAACTGACATCGAGCACCCTGGACAGGGCGCCAACCATACGTATTTTCACCTTTGGCCAATTTAGTACCACTAATTAAACAGACGCATGCAAACTCCACAGCAAAAGCTGATCAGCAGGTTATGAACCAGAACCTTTTTGAGTGTCTTGGGGACATCATTAATGACACTGGCATTTACAAATGTTATAACAATTTTATAGTGATTTGACAGTGCAAATGTATTAACTGCAAAGCAATTTGTTCTAATAGTCAAATTAGGTTGTAAACATTAGGGGCTCTCCACATAGTGTGGCCTAGATTAGTAACAGAAAGCCACAACTCAGAAAAAGTAATTATATACTTGAAATAGCTCTGGTTAGCACACACATTTATCCAATGACAAACATGCTCAAACACTGTTAGAAGTTAAATTCAACATATCTTCTTATATAGCATCCGTGTTATCTGCACATTTACACTAAAGTGGAAAAGAAAATGCAAAAATAGTTTATAGTTTTTCTCAAATGGTTATCTTGCATTAATAGGTAACATTACTCTGGTGTTAAGATATTTTCTAACAAGATTACATTTTTGTTTAAAAGCACTTTTGTGCCTGATTTATTCATGTTGCAGAACTGCAACTTTTCCCCCTAATTAAGTAAAACTAAAGTTAACTCTGCTCCTGAGAGGGCAAAGGACAGCAGCACTCTTTATTAAAAAAAACCAAACATTTATTGCATTTTGGTGGTATCATTTGTCTTTGTGCTGGCACTCCTATAATAACGCCTATAACACTGTAAAAATGACGTAACAATACACTGCAGGCAATTTGTCAAAAAAACAGTGGTGCAAAGTGGTCACTATGAGCTTCCATATCTAAAGCAACAGCAAACACAACCACAACAGCAAAACATCACTGACATCTTTAACTGCTCGTAGCTGATTTCAAATATTTCTTATGTAAAGTGTCTGGGCACCTGTTTAAAAAAAATAATTAAAGTCTGCTATCCTTACTCATCAAAACCAATCAGGTCTCACCTTATAAGGCATCCAATATAACACGCTGGAAAAGCAGCATTGAAGCACGAGCAGGAAAGTCCAGCGTCAACCTTTAACAAGTTCACTCACTTTCTTAGTGAATCCAAAAATAAGCCAACATGGAACCCACACAAACACGCACACACACCAAACACCATAAACACTCTGCAAAGGCAACGTTTGAAGTTCAGCTTTATTCCCCCACCAGCCCAGCCCCCTTCACACAGTTCAGCAGCCAGAAATTATCATGCTGAAATTAGACACATTAGTCTCACTTTTTCACTCTTTAACACGTGCTGCACGCCTGCTTCACTGCGCTCGCCGCCATCTCACAAATATCACAACAATGACATTAACAAGTTGCTGACCTGGTTTTTGTGTGTGTGGTTCTGCTCGGAGTGACGGAGGGCGAGCTGAGGCCGGGAGAGGGAGTGATTGAGGGAGGGGAAAGTGAAAGGGTGAGGGGGGGAGGGGGAGTGTAGGTCAAAGTAGCTCAGTATTACGTCTGAGGGGGGGTAGATGGGGTAACGTGTGCTCATGCTTGAAGGAGGAGATGAAAAAGAGATGGCGCGTGTGCGTGTTTGTGTGTGTATGTGTGTGTGTCTGTGGTATTCAGTCACACTGTAGCTTCTGTAAGTGAATCTGTTTGTTTACGCTAACATGGACAGTTGCGTTGGACGGCTGTCTCAGCTTCAAAGTGTACTTGTGCGAAAATGAGCACACACATTCAGACCCATCCCCTTCCCTGCATGTGTGTGTGTGTTCCTGTGTGTGTGTGCCTCCTCTTTCTATTTTTGCTGCCCACCTGTTAATGACACTAAATCCGACCCAGGGGAAAGGGCTGCAGCAGGGGGCTTGTGTCAGCTCCGCCCTGGCTGTGAGGTTCATGTCTGCAGCCACAGCTACGATCCCGCTGATTGAAGAGGGAATTGTAGATTCAACACCTCAAGTAACACTGCCGGTTAGCTGTCGGTTGGCTCGCATGATCGGATGTTAGACTGGTGAGACCGATTCCACCAGACAGTGAAAACTTGATAGCTTACTGCCAGCTGACAGCAGCAATGAGACACCTTATCCAGTTTGTTTGCTATAACCAATTTAAAGCATTTACGTTAGTCTTTAAGGACTATTATGAAACTTAAAATGAACCCATCAAACATTTGGACACTCAGAAACACTGGTAGACCAAGAACTACTTAATATTGTCATTTTATGAATTAAAACAAAAAAGAAAAACAAAGAAAACATTCTGATTTCTGTGGAAGTAATGGAAAGTCTGCAGCATATTGCTTTGGATTCCATTTTATTCTCTTGAACGTCTAGATGGAAATACTGAGCAGAGAAGAAAGCAATTACGTTTACCATGCAACAAATATACATTAATGTTATAAACCTGTTGTTTACATCATTAAAAATCTGAATCCAGTTATACTTGTCTATGGATCTTGTGCTTGTTCCTGTGCTGACATGATTAGTGCCTCTGTTTTGTCCTTCGGTACAGCTTTGTCCAGCCACTGGTAGGATTTCCGGATGCAAACCACTTTCTCTATTTGCCGGTGGTACATACTGTGCAGGGGTCCTTCCATGATGGTTCGTCCTCTCAGAAAGGAATTGGCAAGAATACCAGAGGAGTAAAGCAACAACTACTGGTAGACAGAGCAGTCACCCAAGACTGCAAGACCCGGCTCCCGAACCTGTGCACTGCCTGGATTGATTACAAGAAGGCCTACAACTCGATCCTGGACCCACACCTGGATCCTGGAATGCCTAGAACTATATAAGATAAACAGGACCCTAAGAGCCTTCATCAGGAACTCAATGGGGATGTGCTGAACAATACTAGAGGCCAACTTCAAGCCCATAGCACAAGTCACGATCAAGTATGGGATCTACCAAGGAGATGAGCTGTCCCCACTGTTGTTCTGCATAGGCCAGAACCCCCTCAGTGAGATCATCAACAAGACTGGCTACAAATACTGACTATGGAACGGAGCAGTTGTCAGTCGCCTCCATTACATAGATGACATCAAGCTGTATGCCAAAAGTAAATGAGACACTGATTCATTGATCCACACCACCAGGATCTACAGCAGGGACATGGAATGTCATTCAGATTGTAGAAGTGTAGTCGGATTGTAACGAAGAGAGGGTAGGTAGTCAGAACTGAGAGGATCGAACTACCAGAATGCAACATTGAGACACTGAGGAAAGCTACAAGTACCTGGAGATCCCACAGCAAATGGGAACCACGTAGAGGCCGCTAGGAAAGCTGCAACCACCAAGTACTTGGAGAGGGTCAGGCAAATTCTGAAGAGTCAGCTGAACGATAAGATCAAGATCCGGGCTATCCCTGCCCGTGATCAGGTACCCTGCTGGGATAATAAGTTGGCCAAAGGAGGCGATAGAAGCCACTAACATCAAAACAAGGAAGCTCCTGACCATGCATGGTGGTTTCACCCCAAGTCCAGCACCCTGAGGCTGTATGCTAAGAGGATGGAAGGAGGCCAGGGACTAGTGAGTCTCAGCACCACAGTCCAGGATGGAACAACAAACATCCACGAATACATCAGAAAGATGGCCCCAACCGACCGTGTGCTCAGTGACTTTGTCTGGTTTCTGGACATGTTTCCTTTCCATATGAAACATTGTCTTACTGCTATTGGATTCATATGCTTTATTTGGTGTTGGTGTGAGTATTAGCATAGTTGTGCAAGAAATTGAAAAGCTTGACTAAAGCATTATTGCTCCTGACAGTCATCAAATCAAACAATCAAATTGATTGTTATTATTCACATTTCACTTACATGGGCTCTAAGTAGGACTCACAGAAACAGTGGTCAAACAAACCCTCCCTCCAAAAAACAATCCAGTAAGAAGGCATCTCCACAAACAAAGCAGTCTCTAAAACTAAGGTGATGTTGATGTTGTAACAAATACATGTTTGTGGGCTCTAGCTCACTGTGTCGCAGTGGTACAAGCAGTTTGTTTTCCAACTGTCTAATCAGAGAGTCAGTGAATGGCTGGTCCTCCAGCTGCCAGAGGGAGAGAATACTGCAGTCAGATGTGCCTGGCATTGTGATAAACTGTGTGTGAACAAGCAAGAAGGTTAGACACAGAGGCTGACAAAGATGGATGACTGAGTGTGAGGGAGAAAAAGAGAAGATCAAGTAAAAGAGGTGAGGAACTTGGAAGAAAAAGAAGAATCATAGAAAGATAAACAGAGACATGACATGTCCAGACAGTTCACCTCACTGCTTAGGCAGAGCAGCCAAATTAAAATGCAAAGCATCCAAAGGTGGCTGATGGAGGCTCGGAGTTATGAACTAATCAGGTTTTAGCCACTAGAAATAGAAAGGTAAAAATCATGTTTCACTTGAAATGTGTTTTTCTAACTGAAGACGTTACAAATAAACATTGAATGCACACTGTAGATTCAATGGTTGAATCTATCTATTTATCTATCTATCTATAGAGTATAGAAGAAAAAGTTAGGACGACAACAAAAGGGAAAAGATATTTTTTTAGGTAGCTCACTAAAGTCAAAGTCAAATTTATTTATATTTCACATTTCATACAAAAGCTGTTAAATGTGGTTTACGAAGACAAAAATAGAAAATATAATACTTACAATAAAATTTATTTTTCATGTAAAAGCTACGAAAAAGAAAAACATTTTTCAGCCCGATTTAAAATAACTAATAAATTCTACACACCGCAGGTGTGAGGGGAGTTTATTCAACAACTGAGACACATGAAAACACTAAATGCTGCCTCACTTTGTTTGGTTCTAGTCCAAGGAATATTAAGTATACCTGTTCCTGAGGACCTAAGTGGCCTAGATGCCTTATAGCTCTCAAATAGGTCATTAATATGTTTAGGCCCAAGACCACTGAATGCTTTATAAACCATTAGAAGAATTTTAAAATCAATCATTTTACATACATGTAATCAGTGCAACGATTTCAAAATTGGTGTAATATGATCCATTTTTCTGGTGCTGGTCAGGACCCAGCAGCAGCATTTTCAATAAGCTGCAGATAATAAATTGATTTTTTTAGTAAGACCAGTAAAAACTACATTACAATAATCTGGACTACTGAAAATAAGTGCATGATTAAGCTTTTCAGTGTCTTTCTTGGCCACAAGACCCTTAATTTTTGCAATATTTTTAAAGCAGTAATAGGCTGATTTAGTAATGCTCTTTATATAGCTATTTCAATTCAGATCTGTGTCCATAAGATTTTTAGCTAGATGAGCAGGTCACCACATGCTGCTTGTCGGAGAGCAGCAGGCCCAGGTTTGAATCCGACCAGTGGTACTTTGTCGCATGTCTTCCCCTCTCGCTCTCTCCCCCCACTATAGCTGAAAAAAAATTGTTGAAAATTAGCAGTAGCTATAAACCTATGTGCGGTACATCAGTTTCATGTTAAACTGCACTGTCCCTTTTAAATAAATAAATTAAAATTAAAATTCTGGCTCATTCATACACTAATTTATTGAATATATTTACCTAGTAAGTATAAAGGACTAGAGTTATAAGGTAACACTGAAATATAAAGCTGAGTATCATCAGCATAACTACAATACAACATATTATAATGCTTCATAATCTGAGCTAAAGGAAGGATATAAATATGAAACAGAAGCGGTCTGTAATGTAGTTTGTATTCAGTGGTTGAGAGGAGGCGGCAGAAACACTTAGCAGGACGGTCAAAAAGTCACGACCACACTGGTACGGGGAATTCCACAGTGCTTGTCCTTTAATAAACACGCTCTTTACCAACCTTACAAGGCCCGGTTGAATGGCAGCCGTCTTATCATACATGAAGCGAGCAGTGTTTATACAACCCGTAACAGTACTTTGAGTTAGGGAGGTAAAGATATGAGGTCCATCTCAGTCCATGCGTCCATGTGCATGCATGTTTCTCCCACACTCTACAGAGGGCAGTGACTTGTGACATCACTAAACATTAACTTGGGTTGTCTTA